ATTGATTTTGGTAGTTATTTATTGAGAGAATTCTAAGGAATTGGAGGACGGCTTGGACTATTGGAATTGCAGTGATGTCGTGAGGCGAAAAGAACTCAGCAGCCGCTGGTAGGAAAATAAATATCAGTGAATGTCAAGACGTTTCGGTGAGCTTTTGCGACCGTCGAGAACGCCAAGGGAGAAAGCAGCAATTCGGGTGGGAAGGCGTAATAGCGGTCTCCTCGGATGCTGACTTCCGACGCCGGCCTATCCTCGCCGACCCGTGTGGGATAGGAGGGCGGTATCCCCCTCCGGGTAGAGAGGATATGCCAAGGGAGGCGAAGGAAAGATCGCGCGTGGTTCATGGCATATTCGTTAGGATACTGCTCTTAGTTCTGTCAAGTGAGCCAGAGGCAGTCCAAGACTTGAGTTCAAGTACGAAGACCCCAAGGCTGTGGGTTCGAAATCTTCATTAAAACATGATTGTTATAGTTGTGTTTGAGGCATGGGACATATCGATTTTCTTGTACATTACATATTTATCCTAATCCTTCTATAACCTCTTGGCCTGATAGGCAATTATGTATTCAATCTGTGTGTGTGTGTGTGTATTCAAGCAAGTAAATACATTCATAACAATAGTAAAAACACCCAAATGGGTCCAAAGAATACCACAGGTAAATTTGTAACGGTTCAGGACCAATACATTATAGACCTGTAGGCGTATATGCCTATCCGATATTCAGGGAGCGCAAAGGTGGTCTTGGCTGTTAACTTATAGATGGAGCGGGAGATGCCAAGAACAGGGTTCTATTCTAAACCTCTTTGAAGTACTTTAACCGTGAGAGATCCTGGAAGGTCTTTTAGGCCTAGATAGATGGCAGCTTGGAAGAGGATGGGGCAAAACTGAGAAGCTAGCTCCGATTCCAAAGAAGAGGTAACTAATTCGAAAAAATCTGTCATTATATAGCACCACAGAAGTTTTAAGAAAATGTATGTATCGTGATTGAAACTCTTTTATTATACGTATTTTTCAAAACGAGCATGGAAACTGTGTACCATGCTCTGTCAGCCAAAATGCGAACCGTTCTCTACGTTTATATACATCTACTTTTTACTCTCACTGAATGCAGAAAGCGAAAACATGAAATGGAGGCATGGTTCCGCGGTAGCAGAATATTTGAGTGCTCCGGCTCAACCATCGGCTTTCCTTTATGCTTGCGTCCATGAAAGTTCTTTCTTTTTTGTCAAATTGGGCGATTTATCGTTGACGGCACTCCGTTGAAATGAGAGGCCAGAGGCAGGGTATTGTAGAGAGAATATGAAAAGTTTCGGCTCACCAATAGCAGACAATGTGAGCGAGCAAATGCGCACAAAAAAATTGCGCCTATCCTCAAGCGCTCTGCTGAGGTTCGTAGATACGAATTTGTCATTGGAAAGCATCAGCTTTAAAACTTTAAATTTTTGTAGCATGACATTAACATGAGGGATAGATATTCAGAAATGGTAACTCTTATCGTTCGTATAGAAGTGAAACACACTAGTCCATTAATGATTGGTCTGAGTTATTTAAATGGCTGAGTATTTACATATTTGAGTTCTTTGCTTAGTGAAATCATTGAAGTCTTGAGTTTGGGATTTTACAAATTATTGGTTATTTCCTTTTTAAAAGTTGCTAGACAACAGTGAAACTGTACAGGAAAAATCCATCATAGAGTTCTATATTTTGGTTTATAGAAATAAATATTATAAGTTAAAGTGTGTTTAAAAAAAAGTAGCAAAAAGACCACCAAGTTCTAGCCGAAGATATTGAGTTAACAATGTTAACTGATTCAACTAGAACTTGCTTTATGTCAAACCATCGATTTGGGGGTCGGTTGTACATTGAGCGATGTGTATTTCATCTTGGAAAAGATGGAGGGACTGATGTTCACGGTTGATATTTGAAGGACACGGATTACTAAAACTCCTATGGTCTGGTTGTACACTAATTTATGTACGTTAGTTTTAATTATTAATATAATAAATATAAAATAAAATATATTATTTATATAATATATTAAATATTTAAAATTTAAATATTTATATCAATTGTTTTAAATTATTTGAGCATTTCAGTAACATTGCGTATCACACACACATACCAATAAAGATGTATGATTGAACTTATTACAGAAAGATAAACAATCCTATGTTTTCTCTATTACATTGACTCGCAGTAAAATGTAAATATGGATTAGGTGAAATAAAACGATTGTGAATTTACGTAAGGTTTCAATTACACATTTTTTCTCCATAATTTTAAAGCTAGCAACCAATATTTCGATTCAGATTAATGCAAATAATCTCGAAGCTATTGCACCTATTGTGGTAGGTAACGTGAAAAAATAGTGAAAATGTGGTTAGTAAACGACTAATTTTCAAACTTCATTAGTCATTTCTCCGGTACTATGAGTGCATTTGGAGAATTTCCAAACACTGATTTGGTACAATTTTGATTCATATCTTCCACAGCACAAAGAACATTTTTAGGACGTATGACAATAATAATTGTTTGAGAAACTCGTTTGAAAAATGGTGCTGGGACGTCATGGGAGTGCAGTGGACGTAAGCAAGGAGAGCTACTTTCCATCCTGAGAATTCTCCACAGCGCGGGTTTCCCATGGGATCCAAATGCAGAGGTCCATTCGCACACAATCACTTGCGCGCGAGCGTTGTTGACAAGCAGTGTCCTTTTAAGGGCACTAATCCGAGGGGGCACTGCTATGAGAGCGTATGTAGTAACTTATCTCTGTCTGACCACATACATATAATTCACTCTTAAAATATGAATCCTTAATCACTTCTCTCATACTCTTACATGAGAGCAATGCATTTTTATATCAGTGAATCTCATCCATGTATCATTTTTCACTATCAAACATACTGTATCTAATCAACCTCTGTGCTTTCTTTCCTCTAGCAGGAGGCCATTGCTGTTAACGTGATGCTGTAAGGCTAAAATAATAATAATAATAATGATGATGATAATAATAATAATAATAATAATAATAATAATCACACGTACGTTCTACTCTTGGAATGTCTAATGAACAATAAAATTGCAAAAACAAGCTATGTTTTACGAAAATCGTTACCTGATGAACGCAATCCTGTAGCTACAAATGCAGAGTCATTACCCAGCAGAAAACGATATCAGAAAAAAGGAAGGCGCACATTATTTTCAAACAAGAAACAATAACAACCTGCTAGTGCACGTCCTTTAAAGACCTTTAAATGAAAGTGGAACTGGAAGATGCTACGTCCTGGCTTGTCAAGCAGAACTACGGGTAAAATGAAGTTGTGATCGCGTATGTGCACAAAGGAAGCGCTTATCTAGATCAGTTTGCGGCTAGAAAATTTCCAGACCTGAGCCTTTATCCACATCCTCTCTAACGTAATGTATTTTCTCCGACGTACATAAGATAAGAAAATATTTCAAGAGTACGAATCGCCGCACCATTCAGATCGATTGGGGAATGTCCGTTTTCATGGAAATCTTGTACAAGCGCTAACGTTGTTCTCAGACATGTTTTGAGAAAATACGCGCAGTTTCAGTATCAAAGATCCCCGAGCTGTGGATTTTGACAACACTACGTACACTAGATGGTAATTTACTACTACAGAAGGTAAGAAAAGTCTTCTTAATCGGTAGCAGCTATCAATAAAATATGTTTTTCTGATAAAAAATACGGTTCTTTTAATTCAACGCTTTCAGTATCCCACACGCGATATAAACGCGTATAAACACGCGACTAATACGCGTCCTAGAAACCGAAAATAGCAGAAGTAACCGAGTGTTACAAGGGCATTTATTAATCGCAATCCGTTACTAAAAAGGGAAGGAAATAATTCTATCTTCAGTGTACAATGGAAGTAATTTTTCATCATCTCGGCCATTCACCGTCCTGCTCCGAATCGCCCGGTCCCGCTTTCGTCCGTAGTGTTCCGTTCTGCTCCACCCCGCCCCGCCCGTAACGCCTTGCTCCACCACGTCCTGATTCAACCCACCTTGCTTCGTCCTGCTCCAAACAATATTTGAAAATCTGACTTATTCCGCAACAGCTCTAGCTAGGCTGGTCCGCCGCTCCGGTTCCCGAATGCAAGGACCCCCGCGGACAGGTATCGGCAAAGATTAAAACAAACTTCACTCCATGCTTATTTTCTCTATTCTCTCCTTGTATTTATATAAACTAAATTTAAAACTCTTCATTTCAGGATTATTGCAGATATGGGCCCCATTTCGATTTTGTGAACCGGGGAATCCGAGAACATTGCCCTTAAGTTGTTTAGAAAACACAACAAATTATAGTCATGTATTGACAACAATATTATACCATGAAAGAAAATACTTCCTGTAACTCGCACTGGAGAAATGTGGTCAGGCAAAAAATGCTCAACAACAACGTACCATTCTGGATTCACAATGGTACGTAAGAAACAATTACATATACAATATGTCTGTGCGTGAAAACTGATGGGGAAAAGACACAAGTAATCAGAAGCCAGCCATGAAGAACGTCTGTTCCAACAAGGCATTTGTAAAGACATAAAAAAACTGGAAAGCAGTTGAGTAATTCAAAGCGTCAGTTTAAAGCTAAAATTAAAATGTGGTAACAATGAATGGTTTTCTGTTAATGCGTTGAATAGCAGACAACGGATACTCAATAATGTTAATAAGTTGTAACATACACCAACAAAAAGTTTCTTACAACTCATTGCAACCTTTTGAGGATGTTCAGTTTTTTCCCGAACATATCCATAAATCATTTGCGTATTATTTCCCAGTAATTTCTCTGACTACTTCCCACGTTGATATGTCCGCTTTCTCCTACCCACAACTACGCAGAGGAAAAACACAGAAAAGGCTGAGTGGCATTAAAAAGTACGAAGAACTAAGATGTATGATCTCCATTTCCTGACGCTGAATATTACCACATTTCCGTCGTAGATAAAAATATCTGCGGAAAATCTTCACATATGCACGTTTCAAAAACCACTTGAGTGTTGCAGCTCGACGCAGATACGTTCTCGAACACGATCACCGTAGGAGCGAGGGCAGGTTGAGAGTTGATTTTCTATGGTAGATTTCGAAGTAATGCTTATCTCTATCTGCTGGATCATCTTTGCTGCCGCTGTGAGTAATGGCCTCGTACAAGCACATCCAGCAACGAAGGCACTTTCACGAGGTAGAGTAATTGCATCCAATTGCCCTAACTTCAAAAATGTAAATTTCGTGACATTCCAGTGTGCAAAGATGGTTGTTAGCATCTTTCCTAGCAAATTGATTATTATTTGTACTTACTCCTTGGAAAAATATTTTTTTTCAAATTGATTAGTGAAATAAAAACTGGCAGGAAAATCTGATGCCAATTCAATGAAAGGATATAATGCTATTTGTATTACTGTTAATAGAGTTTGAAAACGCCTTGACACAACTTTTGTAGTAAACAGTTTTATATATTATCGTCGTTTGTTAAAAACCAAATACCAAAAAAGACGTTTGTTTTTCAAAACATGAGTAGTTTTGCAGAGTGTTGATTAAAATCGTGAAATGTTTCTAAAAATGGAAAAACAATGTTTTCTCAAAAACTGCTCCAGTTTTTAAAAAATTCTCAAAGAGAATGGAGTTTGCTTCATAATATGGTATAGGTCTGATAAAACCTTAGAAATGTCAAGCATTTAAAACATTTTCTTTTACTTTCTCGTGTTTAGAAACTTTCCACATTTTAAGTATTAAATCCAGAAATTTCTTTCTGAATGCAATTTATTTCAAAATTCTAGATGTTTTCTATAATTTCATGTGTAGAAATATTGGCTAATTTCAAATAGTTTTTATGTAAATAGTGAAAATTGTAATAGCCTCTGTTGTAACTGGTGTATTGTACCTGAGTTGTAAGCCTATACGCAAGTGAAAGAACAATATTCGCATGATCAAGGCGTACGATTCAAAAGCGTAGTAGTTGAGAAGTTTTGTCCGAACAATCGTACGGATGTGGATGTTTAAAAAACGTTTGTAAGAAAACAGCTGAAATCATAGAATTCAATAGCGGTTAATTAAAACTTAAGAAATTTTCAACTAGTGGTGCTACAGAATAACACCGGCTATCTCTTACTAGTTTTCGTAATATTTTCAGTCTGGGCTAGTTATTTTGTATTGCCCCTTCCTCCCCCTCCCCCCGCTGCTGCCTAACGGGATCTAAAATGCATTTCCCCTACATTTTATATATTTTTCATTATCCTAATAATACAATTGAAATATAATTTAAAAACTATACAACACCTACGCAACGACGTACCAACCTTCGCATCGAACGAACGTCGCTTCGCTCGTACGTCTTAGTCTCATGGCGACGCTACACATGTCATATTCGACTACTACCAAACGTCTGCTCGTCGAATCCCAAGTATTGAGGCTGATAAGCTTACTTTCCGCTAGTCCAAACCGCAATATGTCTGCACGGAAAAAAGAACCGTTGGAGTATACCAGATCCAGAAACTTTGTTACAGTATCATAGATCTGGCATACCCAACGGTTAGTTGTTTGTGTGTATGTCTTTTGTGACCCATCAAAGGGAGCGAATGCACGCAAACCACCTCGACTCATCGGTTCATAGATTGATTAGTGCTTCCGGGCGCATCAACGGAGAAGCCCTGTAAGTGCATGTATTATAGCGAGAGCTGGAGGTGATCTTTCTCCTGCTGGTTGGCGAGATTCGGTGACGACCTACACGTATGCAGACGGGATAAGCTCTAAGCATCCGACTGGACTCCTGGCATGTGGTATTATAGTGCACGAAAGTGTGTGTACGTAAGAGTGAGCATGGGACAAGGAAGAGGAAGGAAATCTCGCGCGTAGTTCGTAACCCGTTTGTTAGGGTACTGCTGCGGCATTCGTCTGGAGTTATCGGAGAAAGCACGGTAATCTACCGATAGGGGCGGCCGGCCGTTAGAATTCTGCTCCAGACACCGACCGGCTGGAATCGGTCTAGCTAGTGTCGACAATCCTTCCACCGTCGACCTGCCAGTCAGAGGCACTGCAGTGATATGAATTGGTGTCCTAAGCCACCTAAGTCAGTCGGATCATCGGTATACGGTGAGTGTGGTCTTTTGGTAGTCTCTTCATCATGACGTCGCATCTCGCCTTTACCCTCGCCGCTTCGTTACTTTCTCTCAGGGCACATTGATTATATGGTTCGTGGGCTGCAATAGATGCAGAAATACAAAAATCCGGCATTACAAATGCAAAATCCGGCAGCCATGTAAATTGTATAAAAATTGAATATTGTATAAAAATTAGTGATTTTACGAACCGCTTTGTGGGCGCGAGGTCGGTCTTTTTTTAAGGTACTGGAGAACATGACGTCAATGAGTAAAAACAATGTTTTCTACACCCTTTGCATACTTATCTTATTAGATGGCTGCAGCTAGTAGCGTATCATTGTAAATACAAAACAGATTCATTATACTACAACTGTTTGATTATTAACAAAGAATATTCCAGTTGGGAAGTAATCAATCATTGGTTCCATTAAACATTTCGTGGGGTATTGTGTTTTACTGAGCCGACTGTGAGACAATCGGTGGGGTGTGGCGGTAAACAGCACAAGCTCTGCACACAAATTCAGAAGATAATTAGGATACTGAATCCCCCTATAGGTAGTGTATCCATTAAGAACAGATACTGACGTTGGAGACAGTTCTGTAAGAAAATGAATCCCAACTTAACTCCTGTACTGCCCTTTTCAAGTCGATTGTGTTTATGCTCAACCAATGCCACCTGTTAAACCTAGGTAACACCGCTACGTGGCGATGATTGAACACTGCACAAATCCGTTCAATGTTGACGTTCAACACGCACTATAATAGCAACTTTTTTTTCTTCCTGGGTCTTTTTCCAGCCCTCCGCCCGGGTATCCACAATGTCCCTCATAGGAACACATATTCAACTTTTACACTAGACACTGACACACTTGTAGACTCCTCGGTCTGTGGTCAGAAGACACACAAGGCCTTCCGCGACACATACATGAAAGACAAGCCCACGGCGGGACTCTAACCCGCGACCCTTCAAACTGAGGCACTAAGTCGACTCACGCTCTAGTGCCCTCGGTCATCCAAGTCGGCATATAATAGCAAGTATTAATCGTAGAAAAAGTTCTGTATATCTCCCTATAACTGGTATTAAGTCACTCGTATGAAGTATACAATACTACCTCGTTCCTTGCTCTTATCTTAATATCACTTCACACTCGTTCCTTATTATCCATCATTACATCATCCTATCATAATATACTAGTTTTGCACGGTGACGTTACGTTACAGTGACTTTTCGCAAAACGACGGTAAATGAAGTTGGAGGTTTTTTTCGATAATCATGAAAAGAAGATATGAAACAAAAAATGATTCTTAATAGAAGAATTATTTTATACGACCGAAGAATTTTTTTTATTTCGTTAGTGAATTGCAAGTTTTTTGCACGGTTTCAGTTGTTTTTCTCCCTTGACTTAACAATCTCGGTAAGAAAACCTCAGTCTTGCTAATAACAATTTATTAATATGAAATAACGTATTTAAGAGTTTGTATTGAGTGTAATTTGAAAATAATGGATATTGAGAACTGTTTAATTTAATTTTCCCTGGGTTGAAGCCTTAAATTGTTATTTTTGAAATATGGTGATTTCCTTCTTTTTTCTATTGACAATAATCATGTCCATTATATTAAGTAAATTGTAATCTCAATGTAGATTTATTAGTTATAAAGAGGTTAAATGTTCTTTGGTTTTATATGTACACAATGTTCACTAAGAGTGCAGCACTTAATGAATAGCTTACGTTTTTCATTTAACGAATAGTTATTTAAGTTTAACATTTAAAAGTAATTAAAACTGGATTTGTACTCAGATGCCAAATGTGTACGCACTGACGAATGAAGTTCTATTAGTGCGTTCCGGATTCCCCTCTGTATATCAAAATATTGTATTACAGTATCAACTTTTTTCTTCTGATGCGAGACATTCATGTTTTTACTTTTCTATTTCAGGTGCTGCCAGCCAAACAGATGTTCAAATGAACTGCACTCAGCAGGAAGTCAAGTGTTTGGCGAAGGGACAGATTCCTCACGCTGATGGAGGGTGCTACACGCCTTTACAACGCGGACCTTGTCCCAAGGGGCAAAGGATCGTGTGGGACCCAGAGGGTGCTCAAGGGCGGCGAGGGCGCTGCGCGACCCAGCCATGCCTTTTCGGGGCAACTCAGCTCGTGCCCCACGAAGGGCGTTGCTTGAGCCCAGCGGTCGCTCGGGCGGTGCTGTGCGCGAGTGGAGAGCTACATTTCGACGCTACGGGGTCTCCTGCGTGCGGAGGATTTCCTGGCTGGGGTCAAGCACTGCAACGGCACATTCGGTGCTTTGCGAGAAAGGCAGACATCCCGTTCCTTGGCTCGGATGATAATACTCAGGACATTGTGCGAATTGCGAACATTCTCTGTGCCAAAGACGACAGTGGCAAGTGTGTTCCTGAAAGCACAGGCATTGATCCTAAAATTGTCCTAAGCCCAGAACAATAAACATAACCAGTAATTATTGTTATATTTTTTTCACATTATTTCAATCATACACCACTCTCCTGTTGCTCTAAAATCAGAATAAGCAAACTAGTAACTAAAACTCTTATTTCACATTATTTCAACCCTTTGTGTGTTGCAAAAATGGTCTGAAAAGTATATTTATATTTTAAGAATAAGTCTGTTATTTGCGAATAAAGTATAAAGAGGATAGAAGTAATATACTCAAATATTTGAGACCTTCTTTCAGTTTTTATTTTGGTTTACATATTTCATTTGTTTTGAGAATGATTTCAATATTCTGCTCTCCTGAGTATTCAGCTGCTACCTCTGGGATTGGAAAATTGTTCTTGAGTAATCTGGTGACACTAATGAGGGAAGAATGTTTAGCTTTTAGATCTTGGTCTATTTCCTCTTGAGAAATAGACGAATGAATGTTTTTGTAGACCACAGAGACTTTTTTGTTGGTTAAGTCCTTCTAAGTGTGGAACAGTTTATTAGTGCTTATAAAATATTTAATTGCTTTTCTGAAATATTCTATTTGTTTAAATTTATTTTTTGTTTAGCTATTATTGAAAGTTCATGTAAATTGGTTAGTGATGTTGGTTTTTATTTCATTGTTTAGTTCAATAATATTTTCAATATTCTCAACATAGATGGAAGGGGTTCTAATATTTTCGGTGTTTTCAGGAACGGTGATGTTTCGAGATACAGAACTAAATTCACTTTCCTGCAGGTCCCTTAAAGGGTCAAATCTATTTTTAATAGGAAAACTATAATCTTGAGCATGGCTAAACACGATTTTTTTTGTTTGGTTGCACCTTTAGATTTGGATTATTATGTCCTCATTTACCTGTATGTTCTTGGCAATTGGTTCTGCAATTGGTTGCGCAGGTATTACCGTTGGTCTTTGAAAAACTCGCACATAGTTACTGACATTATTTAGTTGACTATTAACATTGTCATGCGGCATTGTTCTACTTACAATGTGAGGCTGATGCGATGGGGTAGATATAACATCAGATCTAGATGATGTTGTTTTAATAGATGCTCTGGAATTTGTAGGAATAATGTTTCACGGGCGTCGCCTTCTTGGTTAGCGACCTCCATTTCGCCCTCAGTCGGGTAGGCCTGAACGAGGGCATCTACAATACACTGGCGAATGCCAGCATTGTCGGCGGAAACATTTACACTGATTTCTTAGACTATTAGCACCACACAATTAGTTAGTGTTTTTGACACCTGTTACTGTAGCACTGCAACTTTCACTGAAACCCAAAACGCAGAATCGAAGCGAGGCGAGGCGCAGCGCTCTCCACGTAGATCTGTACTGTGCGACTGCTCGCAGCAGAATCATGAAAGTGGAGTGCTCAATAATATTTACTACTCTTCAATGTGAACATGTGTGACTCATACTCTGCTTCAAATTCAAAAATGATGATATCCTGCTATCATCCTAGGCATCGCGGGCAGGGCTGGACGAAATGAACGGTGCAAGGAAGGGTGTGGATTGTATAGAGGGGCTATTCGAGAGTAGCGGAGCGGTGGTGGGGGAGAGGGGAAGGCAGAGACTGCTTGTTAGACGATTGCGATAAATAATCAGGCAACGTGGAGTAGTCGGCTCGTAATAAAAATAATTAATACGAACTATTTTCAACGAATCATAATTTATTTCAAAAATTATTTTTACATTATTCGACATTACAAAAGTTGTGAAAATTATCATTCTACTGAAAAGTCTTGCTTCTGAATCATAATCTTAAGATTTGATGGATAAGATTTGATCCATAAACACGTAGTTTGTAGATCCAAAAACTTTGAATATTTCCCATTTACCTTAAAATTACAGTCCAAACATTATCTCCAGCAACGTGATCTATTATTAGAGTCAAAACAAAAAGCATGGTCAATAAGACATTAAAATAAATTAGTTTGTGCTAAATATATATTTAGCAAGGTTTCAGCAACAAATTAATATTAACCTTAGAATTTTATGTTCTGTTTTAATATTTTTTCATTTAAGAATGATGAAATATCGGCGGGCAATTTGGAAGAGAGTTAAGGTAAGATTTGGCTTGGTTTATGATAAAAATAAATTACAACAGCTTAAAGCCGAATTATGCATTTAAAAAAATACGTTTACGAGTAAAGGAACCTACATTCTAATATGCTGATTCAAGCCTTTAAATGATGGTTTAAACAAAGGAAGAGACATTGGGTGCAATGTTTGGCTATTAGATGATACGAATATACGAATACTTAAGTTCATTGCATTCAAAGAATTCATTTAAGAGAACTGTAGTCGTGTTTCATAATTTAGACTGACATGCTGCATTAAAATATATTTACACATACTGGCAGAGAAGGAAAATTTAGGATTAACTATTTTTAGACTTAATAAATAATATTATAATTTTTATAGGTAACTGTTATTCGAAACTTTACTGTTATCGACTTTCGTTTATGACTTGCTTGTTACACATAACATTTTGATTTAAAATGGACGAGTGGGTATATTTTTGTACGTTCAATATGTAATAGCAGTTTTGTTTACAATATACAGGTGTCCCACCAACTTTGGTCCACCCCATAACTTCTAAACGTTCGCGATATCGCAAGGCAATATCGTTGAACAATACGGAATCATGGGGCAAGTTATATTCTATTATAATTTTAGTTCTCGAGAAATTTAATAATATTTAAATGTTTAAATGGAACTATATACGTTTGTTGCCATATTATATGACAGTATTTTATAGTAATTTGAGTATAAAATTAGACTTTCCGACATGTGATTTTGAAATAAACGGACATTTCCTGTTGTCGCCCTTGCAACACTACCTGATGGGGAAGGTGGCCTTCCCGGTGTCGACACTTTCGTGGAGGTAGGAGTCTGAGCTATGAAGGATTTGAAGGATAGAGGCGCAACTACAGCCATCCATGGTCTTGACACAAAGAACGTGTGAAGAAACATCAATATTAAAGATCAGAATGAGAGCTTTTTTCCCGTTTGTTCATCTGAATAGAACTTATCTTCCACTGAAATTCCAAAGTAAGGATTGCCGAAAAGAAAAGATGTTTAAAAAATTGTAGCGTATGGACGATAATAATAAAGGTCATTTTCAAACTTACAAGAATAGAACTAATTGTGTTAAAGGGGAAACAAGGCATCATTATAAAATATGGGAAGGGAATAAAAGCTCAAAGATTTTCATTGTAATATCTCGATTAATTTATTAAATAATACATAGGTAGACATTTTCTCTTATTACTTACTGTTAATAAACTTCCTATTTAAAGATGTACCAAAAGAACAAAGTAATAAATATTTGAAATACTCTAGACAGTTCTTTCAGTGTAAATTTACCAAACTTTAAGAAAAATTTGCATTTGCAGTCGCGACTGCTAATACTGATCGGAGAGTTTCTCATTTCATAGCGCCACGTGATGCCATAAACTTAAAAATCCACGGCATAAGCGGAAGTGTACTGTTTTCTTTTCTATGTATGAGCAGCAGTAGTCGTTTGGTTGCGTAGTGGACGAGTGATCATCTTAATTAAAAATGGAATTTACCAACGAATGTGGTTGTGTTCTTGTTAAGTTTCTTTAGAATGATCTATTTTGGGTATTGCAGTAGAAGACATTTAAATCCCAATGAACCAATAGAAAAAATATCCCATTCTGTTCGTTAAAATTCTTCGTGTTTCTTAGTGTGACACCTCAGTGTTACGACCGAGGATTGCTGTAATTATGCCTCACTGACACCCCTCTCAGTCTCCCCTCTGCACGCAACAGCCTAGTCGCCGCGAAGGCCACCTTCCCCGAAGGCGAGAGTTGCTACGGTCGCTTCAAAAAATGTCCGTTTAATTAAAAAAAACATTGACTAATTTTATACTCAAAATACAATCAAAGTACCAACGTATCATATATAATTTAATTCTGCTTTTCATGATCTCTCTATTGCTGGCGAGAAAAATATATAGTTGCATTTAAAAAATCAAATATGTTTAAATTTCTCGATATTTAAAAATTACAATTTCTCAACAACAAGCTACTTACCCCATGATTGCGACTTGTTCAGCAAAAACTGCATATCGATATCCTGAACCGTCTAGAAATTATGGGAGTGGTCCATAGTTGGTGGGACACTTGTATATACTCCTACTTGATTTCTTTAGTTATAACTATAAATAGCAAAAAGAACAATTAAACATTTCCCCGTCACAATATATATCAAAAAGTTTAATAATTACGTTGTTCAAATTTTGAATATTTTATGTTCCTGCTTGCAGAATGGGCACAGGTTCTTTGTCAAGAACTAGCTTCATACGATTTCCTTTGTTGTTTTCAGCACAGGGAATTCAGTGCACACTGCGACGATTATGGCCGTCACGGTGGCAGAACGCATTATTTGAAAACTTTTGGAATTACACAGTAACATTAACCATTCCACGTAAGTGGTATACAAGTGATCACAGCAGTTGGCGCAGCGAATGACTTCACTGAAATGTTACCCATACCGCGCATCCACAGAGTTTTTCTGCATCGCCGTATATACGTATCTACGTCGAAAGTGTGGTCAGAAGAACTCTTGAGTCTTTCTTCGTACATTCGTTCCTTAAATTTCTTTGGTTTTGTTAGAGCTATTTGAAATCATACTCAACAGTACAAATGTTTTATATTATCATTTGATGACATACGGCTGATTTACTTCTTTTACATATGATATGTTAAGTTCACATATGATATTGCCCTATATGATAAGACCATGCATATTCACTTTCTTGTATACGTTCGTATATACGGTGTATATTACTTTCTCGTATACGCACGTATATACGGAGTAATATGTATACGTTCTACAGAGTAAGTTATGTAATGCTGCGAAAAATCGATTTTTACAGGAATACGTTTTGGGTCCCCTGATGCCCAAAAAGTGTCGTTGAATTAGTTATTCTAACATCGAATTGCCTCAAGCCATATTTTCTTTTAAACATTTTAGAAATGTTTACAATAGAATATACAATACCTGACATAAAATATTTTTTTTTTTAATTTTTCAATCAATACTTTGAAATAATTCTGTGTTAATGGGCATTATTTTTCTCAAAGTGTAAAGTGTTTGTTACTTTAATTTACAAAATAGCAAACGTCTTTACATTATTGTTCAAATGTATGGACTGTTGATTAAGTAATAATTAAGTACTGATTGTTTTAATATATTTTAATACATTATTTCGATAATAATTTAATTGGTTTCAATACATCGTTTAATTGTTTAATTTCATTATAATCCCGTCATTTCCATTAACAAATCAGAAGCTGCTATTGTAAATATTTAGGCCTTTACCGATGTTAATTTACGACATAGTTATTCTTGTAACACAAATTAATTTGACAAGAATGTAATAAAAATAATTGTTTAAAAGGTGTGAAAAGAAATAGCTATTTAATGAATCACGAAATGCAAATACATTTTATAACAATATTAACCGCAAAGAATAGTGAGAATAGAAGAGTACTATGAAACAGCACCTGTAGAAATCAATTTCATTTCCCGGTAAAAAATTACAATACAACATCAGAACAAACTTGAAGGAATATGAAACAGTTCAACAAATATAGACAATTTGTCACAAAAAATATATTTCGCATTTACATTCTAAATATGAAAATACAGCGCATTGTAGTTCAAGACTAAATTATTTATAGAGAGCATACTGCACATTCCCCTTCTTTTAACATTTAGCACTTAACTTATTTGTGAACGGTTACAAGATTTCTTGTTAAATGCAATCTACAAACAACGAAGCATCCAGGGTTAGGAAACGGGGAATAAAACAAAATGGCGCGTAAAAGCAATCTTTCAGACTGAGTTTACGTATGCGTTATGTTAGGCACAACAAACTATACTACTATTTACTACAATATCCTTCTATTTGTAAAATTTAAATGTAGGATCATTTGTAAAACAAAGAAAGAAAATATCACGGAACTCACGCATGAAAACGCGGTAGATTATTGAAATCTTCAAGGTTTACACGCATGCACTCGCTGTGTTCTGGTGGTTTCAGTATCTGTAAGTCCTTGGAGACGTAAGTAATTTAAAACAGCATATTTTAGCTCATGTAGTACTTATTACAACGCAAAGATATTCAGCAGAAAACAAACATGTATTCCAATTGAACATGAATTGATTCTAGGATGTCTATCTATGAATACGATGTTATAAATATGATGAAAAATAATCTCACCATTCATAAGTTAATTCCTCTTGTTGATAAAAAGTTGAATCAAATTCATATTTGGAAAGTGATTGTTACAATGAAAAGAACATATTGTCTCAGAGTACAAATTTTGTTACATTAAAGTTATTTATTATTTTATTTTCAATTCTTTACATATGGCAGATAATATTATTTTGATAAATAATATTATAACTTATTAGAGGGTATTTAGTATTACTCGTGCAACTTTTCTTGAACGATGATCTTGCATCCCCCTCTCTGACACAATAAACAGTTGACAAGCTTGCAGTGGTCACTGATGAAAACATTCCAAATACATATTCACTGGCGCGAAATATAAACTATTTTCCGTAGAAGACGAGAACTTCTGTCCATTATTTTCTCCACAAAATCTAAAGAAATGACGAAATGGCCGAAGCATGTGAAGATCCATCGCAGAAGATCACCTCAGATTTCTGAGAAAGTAGGAACGCAATTTTTTGAAAAAGTTGCGAAGGCATGAAGTGATTCTCCAGAGATTGACATTGCTTCATAAAATTTAGTGGCCGATTTCGTAACTAATACCCCCACTCTACCCGCATTTCTTCAATCCATCACTGAAGGAAAGTTGCGCGTGTGATAAAGTGGTGTTTAAGCAAAAGAGTAACATTCTTCTGAATTATTAACTGAGAACATGATATACTTGGCTAGTTTGTACATAAATGAATCAACTCCTCTCGATATAGGGAACACCGCGTGGTTAATTATAATATTTCAAAAAGCAGTAAATTCATTTTTCGCTTTATGGGATTTTTCCTTTCATTTCATATTTTTATGTTCTTATTGCGGCACAAATGATTTTTTCACAGAAAAGCAAATCAAAATCAATTTCTGAACAACATTGAATGTATGCGTAGGAAATTCATCAAACGTAGAAGTACTTTGAACAACGCATCAGAGCATGAATAAGTATTGTCAGTCAAATCACGTGCCTAGCAGGCTATTTGTAGGAGAATTTTTAGGCGTTTGCCTTCAACATCCGGCCTCTGAATAAACAAGCGTGAACACGGCAGGAAGTATTTCTTTGACGCCATGTTTCGTTTTATTCCGAATTTTCCGATACTCTCTAGCGAGAGAAACTACTATTCTGGGGTCAAAATAAGTTTCGGTTGAACACCTGAAACACCTTTCCCGCAGTTGCCATCGTTTTGAACTGCACAAAGAGCATTATGGACCCACGTTACCCTCCTATTAGGTTTATACCGTCCAGTCCATTTGACTTGACGCTTTTTCTTTAAAGAACATTGGACATAACTTTGTAGTAAGTTTTTCCAACCCGGAAATTCTCCACAAAGCGGATTTCCTGCAGGGTCCAGATGTAGAGGTCCACTTGCACACAACAACCTACGAACTTGTGCATTGGACATGCAACGGCCTGCCAAGGGTACAAATCCAGAAGGACATCGTTGCTCCATGCATAGCCCTTTTAGCCCTTCTGCAACGCGGCGTGTATCCAACATGATCACGTGACCCCGAGGACAAGGGCCTCGTTCTAAGGGTGCGTAACACTTGTCGTCCGTGTGAGGCAGTAGGCCTTCACGTAGACATGGATGCTGCTGGTGTAGGCAGTTGACTGTCCCAGATATTTTCTGTTCACCACCTGTAAATCAACACCCAGATATCAGAAACTAAACTTGGAATGATGAAAACAATGTATATAACGTGCATGTTTGTGGAACAGAAGAAATGAATGTTATCTAGAACCAAACCTACGAAAACAAACAGTGACCCGTACATAAAAGTCCCATATGTTGCGAATGTATCCGGGCAGACAAGAATTCAAATTTGTGTCTAAGAATAGGAACTATTCCAGATTGGTGGTTATAAATTCATAATTCTCTTGAGAGTAGTCTAGTTATCTACGCTATCCTACCCACCGTGTTTTGTTGTCTTTACGAGCTCCACACCTGACGAAACATTTTTCTGTACTTCTGATCGGTTCGACTGTTTCTGTACTATCAACTAAAAGCAACCTAACTGGGGAACGAGAAGTCGTTTAACAGCTGGCGTACTTTGTAAATTTTGAAGCCCACCAATGATTTAGAACATTTGAAACATGTGAGAGTACTTGAAAATGGCGGATGAGTTCTCCTACTCCAAGAAATTGTATTTCTCATTGATTTTATGCTACGGAGTAGAGAGAAAGTTATATAATGCTGCGCGGAAAAGCGGCGAATTATCACTAGAAAACCTAGAGTACAGGACCTGGGTATCAACAAATGAATAAAACCAGTTGCTTAATTTAGGGGGAAAATTTAACAAGTGATGTAGCCAGAATCCAAGTTTTGGGAGCCTTGATACCGAAAAATCGAATTGTGGAAAAATATCAGTCAGGTCATTTCAGTCTGTGAAAAACGCTAGCAGCTAAAGCGTTTAGCCGATTTGCTCTAAATTGATATTCCGTTAGCGATTTGGCTGATGTCGAGACGTCTAGAATTTGAAACCGATATTTTAAGTTTACGGGGTGCTTTACATGAAGCCCCTGAGACATTTTCAACATTAAAAAAACGCTCCATTGCTTTTGATTAAATTTTGTCGTTGGATAGTGTGAAGGTCATGTAAGACAATGGTGCATATCTCATGTCTGTTGACAACAATGATATTTCGAAAATTGAAAAAGTTCAAATTGTTTACGGAGTCTTCTTACAACTAAAATAATAAATATGGAGATTTTCTCCCTTGATGAAATCTATTCATTAAATATAAATTTTGAAATAAGGTCATGCACAATTTTTCGAAAATTTGAGTACTTTTCGTGTAATTTTGCGTGAAATACGGGCGAGAAAGTACATGTACTCTAGTTTTCTTATAAGAAGATGGTATTTTGAAAATGGTTTCAGTACTCACGGTATCATACATAAGGGTCTCGGTTAGTTATAAATCTGAGATTACATTTCTGTTTTAAAAACTGTATCTGCAAGAGTTACGTGCTCTCTATAACAGCCTCATGTTTTAATCACTAAAAGGTCAACTATTTATAAAAAGAACTGCATGTGACGTATCGGGTAGAAGTAAAACTACATTGTGTCCGGAAATAAAACAATGGACCGCTTCAGCATTTACTCTTGTATCAAGAGAATCTAGACAAAATCTTAATTGAAAATATAAAAATTGCTAAACCTCATTGAAGAGATACTCCCAGAATCACGTCCCAGTTCGAGCCATCAAACAAATGACTATAATTAACAAACGTTTAATTGATTAATATGATAGTGAGTAGAGCTAGAAAATTTAAGTGCTACACCTTAATTTTTAAAGTGCAACACTTAAAACTCCTATTTTAAGTGCTTACATCTAAGAATTTCAAGGTTACACACAGTTTCGTAAAAACTGTAACACGTAATTCTTCAGATGTAAAAAAGCCAAAGATAGAGTAAGTAAACAGGAGAGACAAGATTAAATTTTTATAGTGCTTGATTACTGTTTAGCAATATAAAAAGTGTGAAAAATGTACAATGGGTTATTTTGAACGGCGTTAAAGAAGCAAGCTTTTTAGGCAACTAGGGAAAGATCCCAATTCAGAAATGTGAAGAGTGTATGTAATTTTAGTTCTGTTAAATAAAACAAAGTCAATACAATAAATCTTAAAAGTGAATAGCAGACTTAAACATTACCTTGATTTACTTTTTTAATAATATTATTCTTAGATGGCTATGTACCTGGAAACTTTGCATCTCTGGCTGGATAAGCTGATGCAAAATACTCTGCGCATGCTGTGATCATAATGACCATTACTACGGCAGAATGCATCATTTGAAAACTCGTCGAATCGCACAATAATATCCAGCAGTGCTCGTGGATAGTATAAAAGCACTGATGAGTTGTTGCGGCGAATAAATTTACTGAAGTGCGATCGATGCCACGCGTCAGGGAGGTTTCGTTTACCGGACGTTCTTATCTATGACGAATGTGTGGTCAGTAAAAACCTATAAAACAAGCAACTATGATCATCACACATGTTTCATGTTAATCGGTGTTGGGAAGTTGCTGCAAGGCATATGTCAGGGTTTCCCAATCAGGTATCTCGAGACACTGTCCCAGCCGGGACAAGCCCTAAGTTCCCGATGAGTCTCCCCGAATGTGTGGTACTGTAGTGCATGCATGTGTGTTTTTGTATATGACCTGGATAGGACAGAGGGAAAGGAAAAACAGGAGAGAGAGAGGAGAGAGAGAGAGAGAGAGAGATAGAGATAGAGATAGAGATAGAGATAGAGATAGAGATAGAGAGAGAGAGAGAGAGGGGGGTAGAGAGATGTAGAGGAAGGTTGGGGGAGAGGGGGAAGAGTTTTGAGAGGAGTGGAGAGGAAGAGAGAGGAAGTGAGAGGGGTGAGAGAAGCAGGGAGAGGCTGAGAGGTGTAGGGGAAGATGAAGAGAATGAGGGAGACAGAGAGAGGGAAAGAGTGAGGAAGACAGGGGGAGAGATGGAAATAATGGGAAATAGGGTGAGAGGGGGAGACTGGGAGAGAGGGTGAGAGAGAAAGAATGGGAGAGGAAGAGAATGGGAGAGAGGGAGTGAGAGAGGGAGAGACAGAGGTAGAGAGAGGGAGGAAGGGAGAAAAAGTTAATTAACTCTTAAATAAGATTGATCGATTTATCATATTATGATATTTATAAAATTGATTGATTTATCAGCAATTGATTTTCCGATTTTATTTATTGAAATTACTTCACACTTTGACAGATATTTATTAAAACTAGTAGATCATCTATAAATTTGAAGTTACTTTAAACATTTTCTAAGCAATATACTTGTTTGTCATATTCTTCATCTAGATTCCCACTTAAGTTTTTGCATTTTTCACCAGGATGCAACTCGTTAACTTCCATACAAAACCAAAAGCTTACTTGTTGGCTTTTGTTCTGCTATATCTATATGTAATTTCAACACACAAATTTCTTCTAACGCTAGAGGTGAAGCAAGTTTTTTCTCTTAATGTAAATCTGATATTTAGTTTTGAGGAGATCTGGAACTCAGATAAAGAAAATATCAAACAACATGAATTATATTTTAAATGTCACTTCTAAAAAATGCAAGATCAGAAACAATTCAGTGAATATCAGCAAAGCTCTTTGGAAAAGGCGTTTGCTTCACGGCATAAACTTCACGGAGGTGAGCGTTAATTCCAGATGGAGTTGACGTCAACTATTCGTAGTTCTTTGCTTCCACCAGGACCGCTAGCTGTATGCTTGCACAACTGGCCAAAAAACGGGATGAGCTACGCTACTGTACGAAACTACTCTACTCTTGAGAGACGTGAAAAATCTTCAACAGTATGTGAAATTAAACTAATTGCTGTATCTTCTATGCGATTCAATAGCACGGGTGTACCTCTTTGTTCAGCAATAAAGTTACATAATATTGCAAAGAGTAATGTTGAACTTGTTCGATGCTGCATCCTCTCATGAAAATTTTACGTAGCTTCCTCTAGAGTAAAATATTTTTCTAATATGTTTTATATCCACATTTCGTCTAATTTTGCATTGATAAATTCAGGATGTCCTTGAGTAAGAGAATTTACTCAGGTGTCAAAATAATGTCCGGACTAATACCTGAAACTTGTTTGGCACAAACACCATTATTTCGATATGCACAATGGACATTGTTGATTCTCGCTGTCCGCTTTCCGCCTTCTCCATGGTCGCGCCCAGCAAAACGATTTTTCGTGAGGGAACATCGGACGTACTTGCGTAGTAAGTTTTTCCAACCCGGGAACACGCCACAAAGCGGACTTCCTGCCGGATCCAGATGTAGAGTTCCACTTGCACATAACAACCTGCGAACGTGAGCATTGGGCAAGCAACGCCCTTCGAAGGGTGCAAGTCCAGAAGAACAGGGTAGCTCCTTGCACTGCCCTTTTAACTTTTCTGCAGCGCTGCTTGTATACAACACAATCACGTGACCCCGAGGACAAGGGCCTTGTTCTAAGGGGTGTAACACTTTCCGTCTGTGAAAGGCAGTAAGCCCTCACGTACACATGGATGTTGCTGGTGTAGGCAGTTGATGGTCTCAGATATTTCCAGTTTAGTCCCTGCAAGCACGAATGTTTTATTCTAAAATAACAATTGTGAATGTTCTTTTGGTTGGTATTTTTATTATGTAACTTCAACAAGAATTATAAAAATTAGAAATTTGTGCTTTCACTTTTAAGAAAATTTCCATTGTTTAATATATCTATTTCAGTAAATGAATGTGAATATATTTGTGTAATACATTGAGACATAGCAGTATCAGACACCCAACAACAGTTAAACCTACTCAAAAGGCTATCGAAATTGAACTGTCACCTACATTAAAGATCATTTTTTCATGGAATTGAATATTTTTACTTTCTCTTACTACCCTTATCACTTTGTAAAAAGATAAAGCATTGTAATCGTGCGCCAAAAAAACTGCAAATTTTCTAAAGAAAATATCTTATTGCAGGCACTGCTAATTTAAGTATATAAATCTTGTTCATTTATATAGTAAATTACGTATTTTAACATATGTAGTCAGAATCCTTTCGTGGACCCTTGATACCGAAAACTCGATTATCGACAAAATAACTGACCGTCAGCCTGTGGTCTACGCCGACGTCTGAACCGATCAGCTAATTTTCTTCAAAAATGATATTCTTCAATCTATCTAAAGGAACTTGAAACCTTGCAACTTTGAAATAGATAATTTAAGTTTGGAGTACTGTACATAAAGTCTTATCATTTTAAAAATATTCTCAAAAATGGCTTCATATTGTTTTATTAAACTTTTTCTCAGATAGTAACAGATGCTTAAATAATTGCACTGGTTAAAATCCCTGATTTTTCAAAAATTACAAAACTTCAAAAATTTTACGCGTCTTCCCACAACTACAATATTAAAAACCGAGATATTTTTCTGAATTAATTTTGTTCTTAAAAGATATCATGAAATAACTTTATACAAAATTCTTTGATAACGAGTAATTTTTGCGCAATTTTGTGTGAAATCTAGGCACATTTTAAACAATTATTTTCTCAAAGGCTCCAAATTTTTTCTTTAAATTTACCCTTGAATAAATTAAAGGATGGTAAAAAATTGGTTTTGGTGTCATTTCCAACGAACACTGAATTTTCCAATAGTTCAGAATGTTACATTTCAAAACTACAAAATTGAAGATAGAGATTTCTATTTCAAATAAAATCTATTGTAAAATATCATATCTTTAAAAAAGTTTGTGTACTATATTTGAAAAACAAACCAATAGCTTTTGTGCGATTTCTGCTTGAAATTCATGTAAATTAATAAAAAAACTTTTTTTTTAAAATTTCGCTGTGGACTTCTTTAACTATTAGAGTTGATTCAGGATTTTCCTACTGCCTATTACTTATCCATTTCTAGAATAGCATTTTACGTAAAAGGATTAATATGTTTTACGTAAAAGATACTTATAAATGAGTTTTTATCAATTCCCAAAAAGTTTGTTTCCCAATTTTGCAGCCTTCTCATGAATTTTTTAGCTTTCTCCTCGCATGTAAGGAAATTTGAGGAAGGGTCACGGAACTTGTGAAGGGCTCTGCGTGAAACCAATCGTTTTGGCCTGTCGAATGTTAGTTGACTAGTGAGTTCAGTTCAGTGACGATGTATAGTGAATTTCGAATAAGATAATGAGGTAAAATGAAGGGTGTATGGGACATTAATCGAGAGATGGCAAGTGACCCCGCACATGTTGTTTAAGTTATACCATGTAATATAAGGAAATTCAATGGATTTTAAGGGAAGAATATTTTTTCAAAGCAACAATATGACCTGCTTCTTGTAACACCTTAACCTTGATTTAAGCGACCAATGTATAACACTAGGGAACAATGTTTGTTCATACCTCCAGGAGAAAAGTAGGGGGTTTCAAAGGAAACGATCGCTGATTTCGGTTATACTACCACAAAACTCTATGGTCATGATTTACATGAGGTAAGGAAAAGTTAAAAATGGAATACGCTTGTTCGGCAATAGTATTGAAATATCCTGGGAGAAGAATTTCATATTGCATTACTTAAGAAGCTTTTGTGCCTTATAACTTACTCTTGAATTTCTATTTTCTCTCTCTGACAAGGCATCAGCAATAATCTCCCATAATTGCTCAATCCTTATGTCCTTGGTTTCTCTTCCTCATTGTAGTAATATCTTGATGAACCTGTTCACCATGTTCATCACTAATATTACGTAAATACTGAGCGAAAAAAATAAGATGGGAGTGAAAAACCAAATTCAGAGACATTCAAAACCTCAAATTTTGTAGCTTTCTTACTATTATACGGCCAATGTTTTATAATTTTTCTTTCTTTGTCCCGAGATAAACATAAACAACTCGCTGAAAGAATTGCCAAGCTGCTAACTTAAAGTCTGGATCCCTGTCAATTTTGGATCCTGTTCCTGCCTTGGAGTCGACATCATTATTATTATTTTTCGACAAATTCAGGTCCTACTCGACTAAGTGCAGGTTAGTGTCGGACGTTTCTGGTAGGTAGTCTGGGTCTTTTGATGCAGAGGTTTTTGTTTATGGGTGAAACACGGCTTCAGTTTCATTACAGTTTTCTTCATGATTTATTGACCATGTTTCCGGAAGTACAGGCATTGGTAATTCGTCACTAGTCGAAGCCAGAAGATAATTGAACTGAACAGGCCAAAAATATTTATCATGAGGAAGTAGCAGTAATTAAAATGGTTTGTTAGCATTCTCCACAACATTGGTACAGCAAATGACAATGATTCGTTTTTTCCATACAACCAGAATTTACGGTTCTCTGTACAAGTGACACGACACTGGTGTATGGTTTGTCCTGATCACAAACACGACAGCCAAAGTATAAAGAATTCTGAAAGTTTGTAATTTCATGTATTTTTTCCTTTGAAGTTTGGGTGGAAATCTTTCACAAATGTATCAGAAGTTACCTGGTCGATTCGCCCACTTTCGATGTGAAATGACGATTTGCATTTTCTCGAACCGATATATTTCAACAGATCATGTGTCGAAGTTCACTTTATAACACCCTCAGAATTGAAATTAATGTTGTAATGTATTTGAGGCACACGCAAAATAGACACGAACTTCACACCCACTGCGGGTACATTTTGGCACGACACCGACTGCGGGTACAGTTCGGCATGACACCGACTCTGAGATTGCCACCCCTACAGTCATATTCGTGCAATTAGGTGTTAGGATACTTCCGTAAACCTTTCGGTGACGGATGCGCAGTATGATGGTACACATGACTTGTTACCAAAACACCCACTAAGGCCTATTAAGGCCACTAAGACCTCGTAATTGAGCGAGACAGCCAAACGTGAGAATAAAGATGGTGAACTTCGAAGGCAGAAGGTAAAAAAAACAGTATTAAAAACACCAAAGCCCAATTTTGTTGATACGAAAGTGGCCTAGCTAAACGGAACAAATATTTAATATTGAAACATATTTTATGCGTATTTATTTTACATACCTTACAGGTGCAATTTAAATGTGCACACGTAAGCTTCCGCGGCTCGAATCCATAAATTCTTGGCTATCTGGCAGACGCCGCGTCGTTGGCTGGGAGGCCGACGTTTCGCCTGACATGTCGCAGGCTTCCTCACTGCCCTGAATTTATGCAATTTAAATGTATTTGCGTTAATAGCAAAATGCGGTGGATACGGTATAATGATACGGTATGTTTAATACTTTTGAGCCGATATGACGTTTTTATTGTGATATTTGTAATCCACGTATCCAATTTGTTTTAGAATCCGACCAAAAGATTCAAAGAAATATCCAAAAACGTGTTTTTGCATATTGTATCGCCGCGATCTTAGTGAGTGGACCGAAAATTAAACCAATGCCACCTAAATAGCTCTAGGTAGGTGTTCCCAGAACCAATTTTCTCTCCATGCTACAATTTTCTCCCAAGAGGGTGGCAAAACCTGTAGTTGCCATCTCCAACAAGTGAATCGCGCGACAGAATACTCAAAAGGGATGCAGCTTTGATGTTATTAAAAAAAGTGAAGCGTTTCATCCGTATTATCGTTTTTTAAATATTATGTTTTGCAAAACCTTTCAAACCTTGGAACTTCTTAAATGTGAAGAACGCAAGTGAAAACGGAGAAAACTGAAGCTGATAGAGAATAAAAACACATCCGCTCTCGACTGTGTATCTTTATGTTCTTAAGCTTGCAAATACCCATTTTCAAATGAGTGTGACTAACAACTTATTCTTAGTAAATGTAAATAACACCTTATTCACATAAACACCCAACAACAGTCACATTTGGGTGTTTATGTAAATTCGCCTCCAAAACTACCAATAGAGCAATTGCAGAAATGAAAGTGAACACAAATTAAACTACGTTTGTGAAGTTGTAAACTCTTCAAAGTTAGGAGAAAACAATATAGAGGTGTCAAGCCAGTTGGGGGAATACACAAATATAGTTGTAAGTTTTGTGGCAGAATTTTGTAACTAATTGGGAATGATATTATATTATGATGAATTATATTATGATTATATGAAGAATAGATTACAGGTGATATTTTATTGCATTGTTATGCTTATTAGAAAAAAATTCATTAAAAATATAGCGGTACTAAATTCCGACTATTCATATCATCCATATCTGCAAGTATTTTTTTTATCGGGGATTATGATTTTGAAATTGTAATATTACTAGTTCGTATCCCATTTGGAGGTAACATGCAAGGACATTGAGTGTGGGGAATTTTGAACGGAAGTATAACATTTTCAGCCAATATGATTCATTGGTCATTCCAATGCCAGATACTGTAAGAACTTGTTTGAACAAAAGTATGGATCACATTTAGAAATTTTCAACGAATTAAAATCCTATTAAAATAGTTTACTGCGTCGACTACGCTACTTTCAGATAGTTTATAATTATGTGATAAAAACTCAAACCTTTTGAAGACAACAAGTATAAAAATAATACAGACCTAATATTAATAAATAATCACATTAAGAATTAACCAAAAACTTCAACACTGGTCTTTTTTAACAAAACAGGTTCGAAAAAATGTGAACTTGAATAGCAAATAATGAGACAAAAAACAACCCTAAAACTACTCATTTTTTCAAAAATATTGTACATGCTCTACTTGAAAACTCTAGGTTTGCAGAATATATTTTATTAACAAACATATCAATAATACATATTATAGTTTAACAATTTTAAACTTTTGCAGTTTTTGAAAATACAGAGTTCATCAAAAGTGGAAATTCAACTATTTACATAAGCTTACTTGGCTCAAGTCGAGAAAAAATAATCCAAAAAGTTGAAGCCAATTCTGAAAAAAAGCTTGCTTTGAAAATCCCCTTCATTTCATGAAAAATCATGCGAAAACTACTCATTTTATCGAAAATGGCGTTAATTAAAATTTAGTTAAAAAAACATTATTTGATGAACATATTTATTAAAGGACAAATTTCTCTCTTCAATATTGCAGTTGTTGGAAGACGTCGAAAAAACTTTACAATTTTTGAAAATTCCGAGAGTTCAATGAAAATAAAGCCTGTTTCATTCCTTAAGTGTACTTTGCACCTAAAAAAGTTAAAAAGAAAATTGGAGCACTTTTTGAGAAAGTTTTGAAAAAGTTTTGAAAAAGTCGCTGATTCTTCATGTAATGACCTCCTCCCCCCTAAATCAAAATATCTGCGTCAGATTCAATGGGCTTCGAATTATGCCAGATAGATCATGGAATATAAATTTAGTAGAAAATCGTCTGAACAAAATGGGCCCTAATATTAACTACAGACAGAAATGATGTTTAGCGTAAAGCAACTTTTCGATATCATTCCAACGGTTCTGACTACAGTGAAGAGACAACATCGTTTTAGGCGAAGTAAATGCTATTTATACGAAGAAGAACAATCCATTTTTTTCATAACAGAGATGAACAAAAAGTGTTTTTCTGTCGGATATTCGCCGTGATACGTTACATTTGCAATACTTCCTCTATAATACGTCTGAGAAATTAAAAACAACAACAAAAAAACACATCAGCCACTATTTGAATTTCTTCCGGAAACATTAAAAAGAGTTTTTTCAGAAATTTCTCTTTACTTGAGGCTATTTCTTCACGAACAAATTTCGATGTTAGACGACAAACCGACAAAGTTCAAATTATTACAACTGGACGAATTAACAAAAGAAATATTTTAGAAAGTAAGAAAAGGAAATTAAGAAAACCAAATAAATCAAAAACTGAGAATGAATTGTTAAAATTGAAAGTTAAAGATGAAATGTCTAAAAATTTGCTGAAATATGCGCACACGTTAACTAGTACATTAACTTTGAAAATTTAAGATCGCGCATCAATGTCTGTGATAATTAATACCTGGCAAATTTGTTTCTCTTGTAGGATGAGCAGCTGCAAAGTACTCTGCGCACGCTGTGATAATAATGATCATTGTTATCGCAAATTGCATATTTTGAAAACTCATTCGACTGTAAAATACCATTAATCAATCTTCGCAAATGTAATAAAAGGTCTAATGCTTTGTTGCGACGAGTACGTTTACTGAAGTTCTAGGCATGCGGCGCCACGCATCTACTAAGTTGTTACGTTTGCCGGATATGCGAAGACTTATCTACGACAAACATGTGGTCAGAAAAACCTGAGAAAAGACGTTTCACCTCATTTTCCCGGATCCTATTCCTTTTGCTGACTTTTTTTTGCTGAAGATATAAAAAGACTTCAATGATGAGAAAACCACGAAACATGACATTTTGTCATACTTTAGAGTGGAATTTATGCGTGTTTATAACTCTGAAAAACGTATGCATAAATATTTCAAATTTTGAAAACATTTTAAATATTTAAAGATATTCTTAAAATAAGCATGCTTTTTTGATAAAGTCAGTTTATTTGCAATTTATTTCTACTGAAATATTAGTCAGATGATTTAGTAATAATGTTTCTCTACGATCATTTACTAAGATACGTATTCCTGCGGCTACGTATTCCTGCGGCATATTTAATCTACGAAAGAAATCGATTACACACCCAGTCGATCCCAGTTTGGAATCCAACGCATATGGACCAATCACATTGCCAGTGTTTTCGGAATCCACGGGCAGAATTGCATTCTCTTTGCAAATCGCGCTTTTTTTGAACTAGTTTCATCTAGTGCGTAATCTAGACGTTGTTGTAGTTGTATTTCTCGTTACATTTCACAGTGATTGTTCAACAGAAAATCAATGCAAAACTTTACACTGGTTGTAGTTTCCTTTTCGTTTTTGTAGTATTTTTTTATTTCTTGTACTAGAAAACTGATGAGGATGGCTATGCAATCGAAAGCTGCTCTTGTTATAAACAGTATTGTGGGCAATGACGACTCATAATTATTTCATTGTAAATGCTAACGAAAACTCACCACAATACCAATCTTCAGTAAATTACAAAACTGATGGAGGTTTTTGAATTTCAAATTAAACAAAATCTGTACAAAATTTATTCAGATTATTTTAAGGCCTTAGGAAAGTATAGTTTCCTATTCGCGCATAATGGCTAGTATTCAATCGTAGAAATTATGACACTCGCTTTATAAATGGTTAGCGTGGCTCATGTTGCAAACATCAACTCGTGAAATATAGCCATAATTATGCGCTCGATGAATATACTACTACATGAATGGAAATGTTGTTCAACAGTAAGATTTGGCCATAAAAGCATGAATTTGTAATGAAATTTACTTCTAATTGATTCTTGGAGAATCGGAATAAACAAATTAAAAACATCTTCTCCATTTCTTATGTTCCAATCAGACGACAAAGTCACAAAACTTCTGTTAAGATTTTCTATTGTTAAGTGTTTATGTCTCCTATAAAATAATTTAATCTTGTATTTAGAAAAAGGTCTGCCCACACCACATAATGTTATGGACATGTTTCTGTTTTTCACACCTGTTACCAACACATTCATTCGCTCGAAGGTAGTGTAACTACCTACTAGAAAGTACAAAAGAAATGTTATTTTTCGTATGTGGATACTTCCTCATTTACTCATGTCTCAACAAGAAATGTATCTTTTCGATATCTTAAGTTAATTTACTTTGCCAATCCTGACAATCAGTCAAAAAGAGAGTGTATTTGCCTATTCGAATCTGCAAGAATTTTTCCTTTGGATCGTGAAAATAAAACTACTCGTACATATAAACTAGTGGTGCGAAAAAGCATATATTTTCAAATCAATAACCGCGATACTATGAAAAAGAATAGTAAATACCATAGATTTCCAATAGATCAGCCTTCTATGGCAATCTGTTGTTGAGTTACAATGAGAAACGTGTTTTTCTCGCTTTAATTTTTCTCGGTTTCTATTGCATGTATCGGGATGGAAAAATCGCAGAGACGGGGGGAAATAGTTGAATTTGAATGAATATTTGTCAACCAATTTTAGCGCCAAATTTAAATAGAAAAAATAAGTAATTATTTTGAAATCGCTTTTCGATGTGATAACGTTGGAGTGTCCGCTTTTTCCTATAGAATATGTCTCATAACATTCTATAATACATATTTTTTCAATTTTTTAAACAATGTGGACGATAGTGAAAAAATCGAATATACTTTTTATTGGATTTTCTGTTGTTATTAGTTTCTAATATAAATTTAACCACTTGTAAGTTTATTAATAATTGACAACTAGACAATCATAGACAATCATTGTCAATGTCTTTTTCAATGTCTGGGATCACGCCTTTGTTAATAAGCAGTCTACTCACAATATCTGACGGTTTAACAGCTTTTGCCAAGTAACGAACCTGTACCAAATAATAAATGATCGCAGCTATCTGGGAGCAGCATCCCACAATGCGACGTCCGGATTTTGATTGATTATTTGATTTGATTAATTGGTTAAGTGATTTCGGACCCGTCAACTGCTAAGGTCAGTAGACCCGTATATGCAGTACGTGTTTTTTCCTCTAGAGATGGATCGTGAGATCCGACGCGCGCCTATCCACCTGCCCGTCCCCCCGTCTGTCCGTATTTCCGCCCGCCAACCCTTCCGTTCACCCGTCCGCCTGATCGCATTGTCGCCTGTCCGCCAGCACGTCTGCCCATCCTCACTTTATAAGTTTAAAAAATTGAAATTGGCGCCAAAATGTGATTGGGAAAAATGTTTTCACCAATATTAGAACATATTTTCAATCACGACATAAGAACTCGAAATCTTTTAGGTGTGACGTTAATTATGTAAAAAATCGAAATATCGGGGGTGAAACGATATTATTGTGAATGTGCAAACGGAAGTCGCTCTGGGGGAGGTGGCTCAGGGCATCCACTGATGTCACTGCAGTTCCTCTGACCGGGAGGTCCATCTTCCCCGGACACCATCCCAGGATTTTGAGGTGACCTGAACCGCAAATCCCAATCCCTACATGATTAATTTCCAATTGTTGTAGACTTCTTCAGTGCTGCCAGTAATTGGATGTCATGAATATATTTGTGTAAGAGACGTTTCCGTATTTATATTATCTAAAAATTTTCTTTCCTTTACTCACTGGTATGTCTATAGACATGATATCACAGGCCTTCTGCGAGACATATGTTGTATGACATACCATGATATAGACAAAAATAAATTTTAAACGTAACTTATTATTGTAACATTATTAGTGAAATAATAAATAGAGAATTATAGTGAAATAAAAATAATTAAATGAAATAAACATTCTTAATGTTAACAATTTCACAGTTTAATTAATTCTGAAAAATTTCGATTATTTTTTAGTGGCCACATTCTCATCGTCATAGTAGATAAGAGTATCCGCAGGATATTTACGTGCACTTGACCACAAAGACAATTCTTACTGTTCTTGCATGTTCTGAGATACGCACGGTTCACACGTTTTAGAAGATTCCGTTACAGTTAATACCAAGTATGATGCAAGCAGTATCAATTGTTATTTTTGTCATGGGTGCTGTGACAAACTTGTCAGCTTATCCAGCAAGAAATTCAACAGTAACAGGTTCAGTCGTCTTTGTGAAAATATCTCTGTCATATATTTCTTGAATGTAATCAATTAAGATCAGTTCGTAATCATTTCGTGCTACAGATTTTTTTACTTAAATATGTTTTAACGTAATTGTCTGCACGTTAAGAATGTACAACTCGTAATTCAATAGTGTATAAAACCACAATCAGATTATCTATGTATTTAAAAAACCAAAGTTTTTTCGTGAAGAAATAAGTTTGAGCTTTCTATTCAATCAAGCTTCGTGATTTCTTCTTTATATGTAAATGGTAGCGGGCAGTAGATGTGTTATGCTCTTATTAACTAATTTCGTACCATCAAGAAGAAAATAATATTTTTTTTAATTAGTAGAAAAAAGTGTCTGCCGTCGTTTGTTCATTTAGTTGTTTTGAAGTGAGAGTTGTATTCGATGTGTAGAAAGTTGTCGACATTTTGCTTCTAGCGGGAGGAAGCAAATAAGTGTGAGATTATGGTCATCGAAACAAAGATGGCGAGATTTTTAAGTTAGAAGATTGAGTATTGTCTAATTTAAGGATAGTGAATATTTATACGAGATAAGTTAAGCAATTGTCTGGCACATGTGCAGTATGTCATGCAATGCGTTTTAAGTTACGGGGGTACCACTATATCTTGACATCCTCATCCTCAAAACACATGTACAGATATTTGTAAATATTAAATATGTCAATATGTGAGCCGTGAGGGTTCTTAGGATACAGTACAGAATGGATTCGTGTTCGGTCACGTACACGATATATCCAAACCGTCGACTTATTCTGACGAATGATAGTTATCACGCTCCAATCGATTGCATCAGACAGTAAATGATTAGAAGTGACATGCGGCGGAAGCGAAAAGATCTAAAAATGTGCTTGGGACTATGTTTCATACGCGATATATTAAATATGATAAGAAAGATGTATTGGCTGTGTGAGATATTATTGTAAAAGAATCTTCACATTACATTCTATTACATTTCTGAGATTAAGGTTAATTAGGATCGTTTAAGAGAAACTCCATCGCTTCGCTTTCTTGTATTTGTATTTTAGTTCTTATAAGAGTAACTGAAAAAGTCATTTGCATAAATGAAATTGGTCCATGGAAAGAAGTCCACCAATTCCATTAGTTAAAACTTAAAATGATTTTTATTACATTTTTTATCAATTTCATTCAAAAATCCTTTTTCGAAATTGAGAAATGTTTTGAGGGTGTCTGATATATTAATTCTTACAGGGTTCCTCATTCATAATTAAACTAGTTGGTTTACGTCCATGTTGATAGGCTCAGTTCAGCCGAATAAATAATTCAAGATAATTTGTTATCGTTCTCATACTTGTATATTCGGCCGTGGTTGCCAGAATGTTTCCAACGAAATGCAATCGGCCCTGCACTCTAGTGAGTTTAATGTATGAAATAAACTTATTTTCATTTAGAAGACACCATATTACTAGGCTACTTTCAAACATTCTTCTGGCATTTGCTGCACTGAGTCAGCGATTTTTGATTTCACATGATGGGGCAGATGTGACATTTCCTTCTCTTATTTATAATTTTGTTTCTTTCTTCTCCTGGACTCTCCTGAGTTATACCACATAGCTCCAGAGTTTCTTTTTCAGAGTGTACGAGTATTGATTGCAATACAGTGTTTGAGGTAGACATTTTGTTTGACGTAGAATCATCCACATAACCTTCCGCTACCTCATAACCTTTCTAACAGTCACCAACTCTCAGTTTCGTGGTTCACCTGTCGTATGCCGCGGCAGATTGCGCAGAGCTGTTGCCCTATGTAGGTGACTGCGAAAACCCTCTGCCGAGTGCAAGCCAATTGGTCGTCAGCAGTGCAAGAATAATATTGTCGTACCGCTTGTGGAATCGTCATCATTGCTGAATCCGATAACGACCAGCAATACATACATTCTGGAGTAGTCGTAGAGAAAATTTATAAACTCGTTCTTTTCAATTTAGGTTGCCATTTGCGTTCCAGTTTATACATGTTAAATTATTAGGGTTATGCGCTGGCTTATTGCTTAGAAACGAGATGACTGAGTTTGGATTGCTGAAATAACGGTAGGGATCAATGAGTTTAAGAAAGTTTACGATCAATTATGTTATTGTATTAATGATTGTATTTATTAGGGTGTTGTCTGCTAGGGAGGCTAAAGGATCATTTATTGAGTGGGTGTTTTTTTGTTTGAGGATATATTTTAGTTATGGTTTTTGTTATTGATTTGAGTGAAATTTTGAAATGGTGGGTTTTTGGCAAGTTAAAGAAATGAGCAAGTGAAACATTTGATTGGAGAGGTGTATGTTTCAGTTGGTAAGTATATCTATTTCTGAAGTTTGAGGTGGAGGATTTCTTTTTATTTATTTCTTTGAAATAAGAACAGCTATTGTTTCTAATATCCTCTATGTGGATTCATATGCAGTTAGCTTAAAGAGGTGTTTGAAGTTTTGGAGGGCATGTTACAAAGTAGTGGTTTTCTGAACATAAGGCATAGCTAATCACAGTATTGCTGTTATCTTTTGAGTGTTCGAAATCTCAGCATTTTTGGCTTTGTTGAGGATCGTTGGGTCATCTTTTTCTTCCCGTTATCACTCGGTGATTGCATATTGAATTAATGGTTAATATAGTTTCTAGGGGGTCGTTTCCACTGAATTCATGCGCAAAAACCGGGATGGGATTGTTTTCACTTTTAAAGAAGTTGCTTTTATTATGGACGGGAGGCGTTGAGTGAGGTCTTGAAATATTTCCGGTTCTGAGATTGATTCATTTCAGCGATAGGGCGATACTTGAATTTCTTGATACTCGATACCCTTGCCTGTCTGAGAGTTTCGATAGACGATACCGTACTATTTTGAAGACTAAACAACAAAAGTGGTTCAATCAGAATATGAAGGATATATTTTGTTCTTCATACTTACATTCGTTTACTATTTGAATATTTAAAAACTATATCATTTTAAGTTTTAAAAACTTCTTCTTAAGGAAAACTATCATTCTAACTCTTTCTGGGTCCTATCCAATTCTTTTTTTGTCACATATCAATCCAACTGTACTGAAAATTCTCTCCGGACACACTGTAGTTAGTTGAACAGCGCTTTTTCAGCATAGGTATCGAAAAGCGCTTTTTCTTAAATTGGGAAAGGTTTATTGATTATAATAACTGAATTATGAAACAGATCTTCAATTGATTTTAATCAGTCAATCATTAAACAAATTCTGCAGTGTTTGCCAGAGTTCGGCTTGTTAAAGATCTACTTCATGATTACATTTCCACAAATCGTCGGTGAAGAAGGAATATGACACGTCTCAAAAATATATTTTAGTTAAATGATGAAATATGTGACGAAAACAATAAATATTTACTTATAAAACTTTTATAAAGATAGATGATAAGGCAGCTGGGTACAGAGTGTACCACTACTTGTTTTATCAGAAATACAAGGCCCCGCCCGCTAAAATCGATCTGCAAAATGATAATTATTTACATTTCTTTTGAACCGACAATTTCCGCAGTTGTTGTATTATGTTTGTTTCCTATTATTCAAGGTATTTTATTACAGAAACCACATGTTAACTACGTCAGTGTTATTTTAATAATTATTATTTACTTTGCAGAGTCATCACCAAAAATTGCTGTCCAAGTACAATGCTCACCACTTGACCGCAAGTGTTTATCCAGAGGACAGATTCCGCATGCAGATGGAAAATGCTACACGCCTTTGGAACGGGGCCCTTGCCCTAAGAACCAAATCATCGTAATTGATGTGAACGGAGGTCCAGCGCTAAGAGGAAGTTGCAGGGCTCAGCAGTGCACTTCTGGGCTCGTGCCCTTCACAAATGGACGCTGCTTAGGGCTTAAAATCGCACGGGTGTTGCTGTGCTCGGGAAGTGACATACATATCGATGCTACGGGATACCCTCGTTGCGGAATCTTTTCTGGTTGGGTTCGGGGAATTCGTAAGATTGTTCGGTGTACAAATGCGAAGAGAAAGCCTTTCATGGACAGATCTGTTCGAATTTTCCGTATTATCTGTGCCGAACAAAACAGTGGTAATTGTGTGCCAAAAACCTTGGGTGACCGTCCTAATCCTATAATTGAAACAGAAAAGTAATTTTGTTTCCTTAAATATGTTTTTATAATGGCGTGTTTCATTCCTTCATAGTAACTTGAAAGTAGTCTGCATAAAGATAAAGTGGTGCGTCCCATGTTTGTCCATTACCATCCGTTGCTTTCCAACGATCAACTGAATAGACAATATGGTAGAGAATTTTAACCCCCATATTAATGTATGTTTGCCGTTGTTCGGAGCCAGTAGTGACGAACAAAACAAAGGTGCTACAATTTGTCATTGAACATTATTTGTGTGTTTCAAGTTTATGAATAAATAACATTCAATACCTATCCATATAATAGTCTTTACTCAAAAGATAATTACTGAAATTATACAATTATAAATATTGGAGCTTCCGCGACCAGGGTCATGTGCGTGATCTGGGCTGTCCGGGTGACGCCGCGTCGAAGGCTGTGTTGCCGACGTTTCGACCATTTTCGTGGTCTTCCTCACCAATACCAGTATTCAAGTAATTCCATGAAAGAATTTATGAGTCATGATAAATATATTTTTCTTGAAAATAACAATGAAAAATTGAATGTTTCATTCATAGAATGATAACCTTTCGTATTGAATCGATCCCCATTATAGAGTTATAAATTATATTGTTTTTCCTTGTAAATATACAGTAGCGATCAATTGAAGAATAAATAGTGTGCATTTTTCTCTGTCAGTGTAGCATGAAAATGGACCAAGCCACTTGTAATACTATATAACATAATAAAATGTTAACAATTTGGTCCCAGTGAAAACCTTTAAAACTTAATTCAGGATCATGCAATTTAAAGCAGAGTTTAAACGCAGTGAAATATATATTGACACATTATTGAGTGAAAAAACTGCAAAACAATAAAACAAAGCATGTTCTATGTAAACCCCTTTATAACGGAATTCAAAGATCACAGTACATTTTCTCGTTTCTTAGACAGACGGTCTCATATATGGTAAACGGAGAGAGTGTATCAGTTAAAGAAAATTAATGTTTATATTAAAGAAAATTTTTTGTTAGACAGAAGGACGTTATTTACAGTTTACATGGGACTTGATAAAATTAAATCATAAATTTAATGTACATTAATTAATATAACAAATTAAGAAAATATTGTGTTGTTTATGCTTCAATAAAATGGAAATATATTTAAACGAATTTTTTCAATCTACTTTTATGATAAAATTATTTTTAATTCTGATTAAGCAATTGATCCCTAATTATTTAAGCAATATTTTGAAATACATCTTAGGAAATTGATTGTACTTTGTTAATAGACAGTCTTAGTGCTAAATGCTCTTATAGAATAGAGTTTAACATTTAATAAATATTAAAATTTGAAATATTTTAGTCTCGTTCAACATTTTACTCTAAAAAAAAATTTGTGGTATGGAGAAATGGCATTTGGAATGAGTACAAACCATGGCAAATCGTCGGCAACAAACCATGGGGCGTTGGTGATAACCTTTAGGCACTGGTTTTGGAAAATTTGTAATTTGTTAATATTATTTTTGTTACCTTAATCCAGATCGGGCAACGGGATAAAAAAGAGCTTTTCAGATGGTTTTATAAACTATTAAAGTTGTATTATATGGTAATGCTGAATTTCTACTGATGAGGTTCAGAAATTTTATATTTGTTTCTTTGACTTTGGTTCGTATATGCTTTTTCCAGAAAAGCTTTGTGTCTATGTTTAGTCCGAGATATTTAATTGTTCTGTTCTGTGGGTGTCAGATTATTGGTCAGTTGTTTAATGTTCAGAGACGCGAGAGTAATGTGTGAAGTGTAAGGTCTCAGCATAAATATTTTGGGAGCGGGTTTTGTTCGGATAAGTTGAACTTTTAGCTTACGGCCAAGCTGTCGATTAGATTAAGATATAGTTTAATTGTTTTTCCTATTTTATTCTCCTATTATTTTCCTATTTCTTTATATCTGGTCCTCAGGAAAATAACGCCGCGTCGACAGAAAATTACGCGATTTTAATCAATAAAATGAAAGTAAGTCTGTCATATAGATATGAAGAGTATGAGGGGTAATAGTCATCCTTGTGAGATGCCTGGAATTTATTTGCCTGGTTTTGAGTGTTGGTTATTGTCATTAACTCAAAAGGTTCTGTTTAATAGAAAACTGTGGACGGTTAAGGTAATGTAACGATGGATCCCAATTGTTACTTTCTCGCTATCACTTACGCAGTAGAGAGAAAGTTACGTAATGATTCGCGAAAAAACCGACCAATTTTCGGCCGACATTTTTCTATTACTGGGTCCTCGTAACGAAAAAGTTGTTAAGTTTACGAAAAGTCCTCTAACACTTGGTGAAGCCATAATACAAGTTTTGTGAGTCCTTGAAAAATCGAATGACGGCAAAACGTGACTGTCGATCTGTCTGACTCTCCGTCTGTGAACAACGCTAGCGGCTAACCCGTTCTGTCATCTTTCTCCAAAACTGATATTCTCCAGTTTTTCGTAAATTGAAAAAATATTTTTTCGGTGTCTTCATGCAACTACAATGATGAAATAAACATTGTTTTCTTAATGAAATGTGTTAATCAAAACAGATATAAAAATAATGTCATGTTCAATTTTTCAAAAATATGGGTATTTTTTTCGAAATATTGTGTCCAATTTTTATATTTTGTAAAACATTTTTTTCTTAAAAATGATACAATATTTTTTATTAAATTTGGACTTTATATGTCGTAAAGGTCATTTCAAAAATGGTACAGTCTCGTGTTTGTTAAAATACCTTATTTTTCGAAAATTTAAAAAAAAAATTTAATTTCCGTTACAATTGTGAAGATACAATTTTTACGTCTCATTTTTGTGACGTAATTTACCTGTATTAAAACAGTTATAATTGTCAAATTAGGGTTGATATTTGCTTGAAAATATTTAGTTTTCGTACCAAATTTTCTGCAATTTGTAATGAGTTTGGCAAAAAGTGATGAATGAGATTTGTTAATGCGGAGAGAAATTGAAGTAAATAGTATTACAAAACCATTACTAAAGGCCAGAGAATACGTGCTGTTTTAGTACCACAAGTTTAAAAGTGTTATTAAGATTATCGTGTTTAGGTGCTTTCTTGTATGGTAATTTTTTAATTATTATATTTATTTCCGTAGGGGATGCGTATTTTATTTCTTGGCATGGACCGTTGAAGAATTCGATTAGATTTCAGTTAATTGTAATGGTTCGGGTTAAGATGTGTTTGTTTTAAGCATTTACGCAAAATAATCAGCCAGCTCTTTGGCTCTCAGAATTGAGGTGTATATATGTCTTGCGCGTTGACGTGATTAACATAGGTATCATTGTCTTTCTATGAAGTTTTTTTTTGTAAACTGCCACAGCGTTTATTTGTAATGGTGATTGCTCTAGCTTATGATATTATTGATTGTTGTGTGTTCTGAGATTTAATTATTTTCTAAGCTCGGCAGTTTTTAAATGGGTCTTCTGGTATTGTTTTTAAACTTTATAGCTATATTCGTCTGGGAGGTTTTTAGGTTTTGTAAGGGACGCTTGGGTGTTTAATTTAACCGCTAGCATGATTGGGTGAATTAATGTATTGAGATGAGTGAGAGCATATTCAATTTCGGTGGGGCGATGGAGCATTTTGAAAGTGGGTATTTTTGCTCTAATGATATTTTGAAATTTGTGCCAATTTACTCTCTCTGGTTAGCGTTGGGTGTTAGTTGTTCGCGTTGCGGTGTATTCAAAAATATGGGTATTTTTTCAAATATTGTGTCCAATTTTTATATTTTGTAAAACATTTTTTTCTTAAATGATACATGTTTTTATTAAATTGGACTTTTTATGTCGTAAAGGTCATTTCAAAATGTACAGTTCTGTTTGTTAAATACCTTATTTTTCGAAATATTAAAAAAAAATTTAATTTCCGTTACCATGTAAGATACAATTTTACGTCTATTTTGTGACGTAATTTCCTGTAATTAAACAGTTATAATTGTCAATTAGGTTGATATTGCTTGAAATATTTAGTTTTCTACAATTTCTGAATTTTCGTAAGAGTTTGCAAAAATATGGAAATAGATTTGTTAATGCGGAGAGAATTAAGAAATAGTATTACAAAAACCTTACTAAAGGCCAGAGAGACGATGCCTGTTTAGTTACCACAGTTTTAACAAAGTTTATATATCTGGTTGGCTTTCTTGTTGTAATTTTCTTATTATTATATTTATTTCGTAGGATGCGTCATTTATCTTGATGGACGTTGAAGAATTCTATAATCAGTTAATGTATGGTTCGGTTAAGATCTGTTGTTTTAAGCATTAACGCAAATAATCAGCCAAGCTCTTTGGCTCTCAGAATTGAGGGTATATATTCTTGCGCGTTGACGTGATTACATAGGCTATCATTTTGTCTTTCTATGTGAGTTTTTCTTTTGTATATGCCACTCTTTATTTGTAATGTGATTGCTCTAGTCTTGCATATATTGTATTGTTATTCGTGGCTGAGATTTAGATTTTATTTCGAGCTTTCGAGTTTTGAAATGGTTCTTCTGGATGGTGTTAAATACGTTTAGCTATATCGTGTCTGGAGGTTTAGTTTTGTAAGTGGAGCTTGGGTGGTTTAATTTACCGCTAGAATGATTGGGGAATTGAATGTTATTGAGATGAGTGAGAGATTATTCAATTTCGTGGGCGATGGCAACATTTGAATGGTATTTTGCTCTATTATATTTTGAAGATTTGGCAAGGTACTCTCTCTGTTAGCGTTGTGTGTTAGTTTGTTCGTCGTTGGGGTAATTCGCTGCTATTATTTGAGCGGGC